CCAACTATCAAATAATTCATAACGTTCTTGCCACACATTCCTGGCACTTTGCCACTTTCCCCAAACTCCACCGCCTCTACACGCACCTGGAGGCCACCTTACCTGGCGAAATGAGGCAACAGAAATAACAACAACAAAAAATGCGTTTAAGTCAAGTTTGCCGCGAGCTTCTCGAAAAAGAGTTGCCGCCGGCTTAAGGTGTGCTATAGGTGTGTGGGGGACAGTGGATACTTCCTAAGATAAACTTAGTTTCTTAAAAAAAATACTAACTCGGCTAGGCTTTTCATTGTTTTTCAATTTCAAGTATAATAATCTTCCAAAATGGTTCGAATTACACACCTTTATATCTGTAACCATTAAAAATTCGATTCACAGATAGCACTACAATGGGATGTGGGAATTTTTAGAAAAAAGTTCAATCATTAGAATTTTCCCTGTAGCCGCCTTTGTGTGCGTGCTCATCGTGTGTGGCAGCTGTGATCCGACCTCAGACAGCGAGAATGCCCCGGTGCTGCCACCGCCCCGATGTTGTGGCACTTTAGCTCGATATTTATGCAACGGCACACACTTCATCTCCCGCTGCCACCTGGCCCCCACCTCCAGCCCCACGGCTGCAATTTAAGCGCACATTTTTCTTGGCAGCACACACATTTTCCTACTCTGCATACGAGCAGTTTTTCCAACTCCCTTGCTCTCTCTATCGCTCTCATTGTTTGCAACACTTGGCGCTTGCCACATAACGACAACAGCAGCAGCAGCAGAAGTTGCAAGTTGCAACTGCAACATATGCAACGGCAAACAGCAACAGCCACAGCAGCAACTGCATCGTAGCATGACACATTAAATGCAAAACGGCAGCAAGGTGCGAAAGTCAGGGCAGGGGAGGCAAGGGCGGGGCTGAAAACGAGGCTCGGACCGGGGTCTTGAGCAGCGGTTCCTGCTTCTTCTTTTCCTTTTCTGGGCTGTGTTGCACATGCCTCAGTTGCAGTTGGACTTTATTTAATAAAGAAATGGCTGGTGCATTTTTTAGGGTGCCCTACTGCTAACCAGATGGAAGAGGTATCTTTTGGGGTATAATGGGACTTAAATATCAATACTTTAAAGTTTCAGAAGAATAAATATTCATTCTTTAAAAATAAGTCTTTTTTTTCCTTAAAATACTCAGACTACTTAATCATAAAGCAAATGTTGCAAAACCTGCAACCTGCAACATTGCAACTTTTCAAGCTAATAGCTTTATTAAAGCCAAGTAAGTTCTATTTCTTATTTTAAATGAGAGGTATTTAAATTGTCTATAACTTAACTGAGTAAATTTTACGCATAATAAACCGTATGCTCGTCATCTAAATGGCCAAAACCCGAGCAGCTGTTGCTACTCGGCATTCCTCTTAACCCTTGTTGCCACCGCTGACTGCTCTTATGACAGAACAATTTCCGAAACCAACTGTGACAAGATGAAGCACTCCAAGGTAGAAGCATACGGACAGGTACTGGCAGAGTCTCAGGCCAGATGGAGTCTTAATTTTTTTGGCACAAGTCGAGCAAAGATCGTGGATCAGAAGACCAATCATTCGTCCATCAGCGATGGGGATTTGATTATGCAAACGGATTGCAGTCGAGAGATCATTAAATGGCATTAGATAATAATTTTCACCTGAGGCTCTCAGATAGCGCCGTCAATCCGTCATTTCAGCATCGATAACACTTTAAATAATTGCACATTATGTCCGAGAGACTTTAATAAAATAATTAAAATGAAATATGCGAAGCTCGCTAGTTGGGAAATCCAATTTTTTTTTGTTTCAGCACTTCAGAAAATTGCGATGGGGATAAGCGAAAAAAAAATTGAATGGCCCAAGAAGTAGAAGGAGAAGATGGCCAAGTAGAAGCCACCGCAGAATGGAGCTGGCCAAGTGGAAAAAATTCTGCGGGCTACCAATCTACGCATTTTTTAACCCCTCCTCGTCGGACCTCCTCTTTTCACGTCAAAAGAATACCGACAGGGGCGATAAACTGTTTTCATTTTAAAGAAATTTCAGATTTGTTGAAAAGCATAAAAATTCAACAGAAAATATTAATTTCAATTACTTAGTTACGCGCCAAGTCGCCCTGAACAGATTTTTTCCCACCGCACTCCAGAAGGGCCCAGAAATGTCAGGGGCAGGGGGCCGGGGGCAGGAAGAGAAAAATAAGAAGAAGCTAGAGAAGCCCCGGCACTTTGTTGGCTAAATGCGAGCAATTTGTTACAGGATTTTCATCGGTTCTGTGGGAATATTCCGCCCGGGAAAAACAGGCAATTTATAATTATCAACTGTAGGTGGCGCTTTGGGAGCTGGGAGCTAGTAGCTGTTAGCTGTTAGCTGGGAGCGAATAGCGGAAGTTATTAGTGGAAAAAGTGCATTTAGTGCAGCCCAGAAGAGCACTGAGCTTTTCCGAGAATCTTGACATTGAACGGCGGCTTCTTCTTCAGCTTCTTTGTCTTTCGTTTCTGCAGCCAGTCTTCGTCTTCTCTTCTCTTTTAATTAAAGACGGCACTTTGGCATGTTTCATGGCACGGAAATGCCACAAACAATTGCGATGAAAGACCAGGTGAATTAAATAAGAGGTTTGAGGTGGAAATCGCAACAAATTGGCCAAAACAATCAACTAGAATGAATTAAATGATACTGAATCATAAGAGATGAGAAGGAAACTTATGTAAAATATATAATTTGACATAACTTCCAAGAATATTTGTATAAACTCCTTGAAAGAATTCATTAAGAAATTACCTTTCCACAAATTTCAGTTCTTTCTAATCTAAAATTCGCAACACTCATTATAAGAATACCGTATCAACAACCTTTCACACAATCCCCAGCAATTCACAACCCCCTGTGGCTGGTAGAGACCCCCCGAATATTACAATTAAATCCAACTCCTCAGACCCCAACAGATCACGTCCCAGCGGGTGCTAATGTGAAATAAAATTAAAGATATATATAGAAAGACAGGGAATAAATAACTGTAAATTACCAAAATGAACAAAAATATTATTTAGAACTGTGTGAATTAATTGCCGTAAATGGCATTGGTTAAATGGCCAAATAAAAATTACAAAATCGTATGCCAAAGATGAGAGACCTTTAACCCAAGTCCGTAGAGTTGATTCGATTAACACTCGATAAGCAACTAGTTTTGGGATAATTATTCAAAGGCCCATAAAATACCAACAGCTCCACTCATATTACAGGTAGGCGAAGATTAATCGCTTGGAATTTAGGAAATTTCTTGCCTAATTTGATTAATTAGGCTTCAAAAAACACAACAATGAACTCCATTTTTGGAGAGATGTGTTCGATAAATAATTACAATTATTATTCGTTATCTGGTTATTGTTGGTAGCTGAGTTAAATGGGAAATATATGCAACTAGGTGATATAATACAGGTGCTTGGATAGGTTGTAGTTCCGTCATCGTATGACGTATTTTCTTAGCAGTTTTTGGAACTGACTCATATGGAGGAGTACGTAGTATTGTAGCCGGCGCCGATATGGCTCATTGAGCAAATACTTCGATGAGCTAAGTCATTTTTTTCAAACCATCAGTTGTCTGAAAGCCAGCACTGAAGGAAGTTGTCTGTTCGAGAAATAAAATACCCGAGGCTTGGAAAATATTTCGATTAAAAAAATCCATGGTACGTGAAAGAGCGAATCTCAACAAACATTATCATGACGAATTTTTCAACCTTCAGGGCCCATCTGCCTATTCCAATTTTTAGCCAAGGTCAAAGTTCTTTCTTAGGCCCTTGACTTTTACATTTTGCAATTTTTCACGCACTTCTTCAGTTTATTTTTTGGCCATAATCATTTTTTTTATTTTTGTTGGTTTCGGCACATGCAAACATGATTTTTTGTAGCCTTTCTTTTCATTAAACAATTCTTTATTTTTTGCTACTCTTCTCACATTTTTTTCGCGAACTTTACATTTGCAAAAGTTCATTAACATTTTGTGTGTGTGTGGCCAAAAGGTAAAAAGATACAAAGATACAAAAAAAAAATCCACGCAGCGTTTTCCATTTTAATGAAATTTAGCCTCGTTTTGTTTTAGTCATTTTTTTTACTTTTCAGTTCAATTAATTATGCAAATGGTTACAAGTCTAAAAAAGAACTCCCCTGACTGTTCTCCGTATTCCCTATTTTGACGAATTCAATTTTAGATTTAGAGCCACTTAAGCGATCAAAACTAAAGGCTGACATTAGAAACTTGTTGTCGGACTAAGCCATAAATTATTAAAATAGAAATTGGTGAACGAAACTCCCCCGAATGACCCCAATAGCCAGAAAACGAGAAGCGGCAGAATTAAGTGAATTTTTTTTGCAAAAAAGGTTTTTGTCAACTCTCCGCTTGAGGGAGTCTCGAGGCGCGAGCCATTCTTTAGCTACTTTCGCTTTTTGGGAAACCCTTGGTTTTGTTACTATTTTCGTTTTCTAGTTTTTGTTTTCTTTGCATATAATTTGTTTGGCCAAATCTCTGTCTCCGCCTCTGGGACCTTCTCTTTTAGAAACGTTTTGTGTCAACCACAGAGTTTAACAAATTTTTCATGTTATTGTTGCGGTTTTTAATTGCTGGGATCGCATCCGTAAGATTCGCTTTTGTTTCGGTTATCGCATAATGACAACTATTTGGTACCTTGCTGTGAGCGAAAGTTTCACTGCCCCAATAGCTGGACGGATAATTATTTAAGTTTTGTAACCGAGCTCTCCCCCGAAAACTAATTGACCATTATTTAAATGATTTTTGTGATTTGTGGAAATGGATTTTTCAATAGATTTTTAATATTTCTCTCTCTCTTATTTTTGCTACCTTATTTATTGGTTATCCAACAGCTTGCTACTCCAATTCCTATTACTTATAAATCTTTTGACAAAGTCCCCTGTCTGTATCCCTTTGTTGGATCCTTGTGTTTTGTGTTTGACTAACCAGAAACCTTCCCTTTCTCTCTCCCCAACCTGTTGCAGATCTTGGAACCCTGAACAGCCACCATAGCAACAAAAGCAACATTGGTGCTACCAGCAACATCATCCCAACAGCAGCTATAATCCCAACAGCAACTATAATCAGCAGCAGCAACAAGAAGGCAGCTGAAGAGACGGCGGTTGCACCACAGAATCGCAACAAAATGGAGCTGCTGAGCAGCAGCACAGCAGTTGGAGTTACCACCACGACGACAGCCACGCACCACCTTCACCAGGCCACCACCACGAAACAGCTTCTGGTGCAGGACTACCTGAGCTACGCCTCCCCACCCACATACTCCCGCCTACCGCCCGATGGTCATGAGTTTCCGCCCAACTTTAGTGAGCCACTGATCATGCACTCCAGCCACCCCCTCAAAGGCACCACCACCACAGCCACCGCCACAGCCCAGCTGAGCTTTGACAGCCAGCCGGGTAGTACGGCACCACCACTGCCCAAGACGGGTCCCCCGGCCACAGTTCCCCGTAAAGTGTACCGCCAGGATCTGGTCATAAATGTGGAGGCGGCTCCTAGCCCGACCCAGACTACTACTGGTCGGGATTACCAGAGATCTCTGAGCGGTGGACCGCCAAGGAAGCCCAGCGATTGGCGCAAGGATGAGAAGTCGGAGAAATCGGTGCGCGACAAGATTGCCATGTTCTCCTCAAACAACGAACTGGATGCCATACCACCATCTCCGGCCACAGCTCCAGTGTCCTCGTTCTCGAGGAAACCCATGAACCGAAGCAGCGAGAACCTACTGGACAGCTGCTCCTCCTCAGCAGCTCCATCACTGAAAACCCGCGCCATGAGCGTCGAGAACCTAAATGATGTCCAGCGGCAGTACCAGTTGGCCAAGCAGTTGCCCCAGTTGCATGTTGCCGACTCGATGTACTCTCTGAACACGGTTACGCCCCCTCAGAGCTACGCCTCCCTGCCCAGGAGGAGTCACGGAGGATCCTATTCGGCGTCGGGTGTGGAACGCAGAATCAGTTTCTCCGGCGAGGGAGGAGATGCGGCCCACCGCAAGGCAGCCATTACAAATATCCTGGAGCAGCGCCGCAGGAGTTTGTCGAAACTGAGGGGTCTGGTGATTCCCGAGAGGCCTCAGTTGCTGGAACCCATCTTGGATCTCCCGGAAATCAAGAGCCAGGTCAAAGCAGCCAGCGGAGAGGACAGCACCGACAGTGGCTTGGGCGAGAGCCACCGCAGTAGCAGCAACTCCACCACCACAGCTGGCAACAGGAGCAACCAGTTGGGCTCTGGAAGCGGGTCGACCAGCAGCTATCGCAGCATCTTTTCCACAAGTCAGAGGCGTCCTCTGGAACATCAGCTATCCCAGCCGCCGGCCAAGCCACCAAGGACTTCGCTGACACCACTGCATCCCAGGACAGCTACTTTGCCGCCACCACCGCCGCCGCTGGATCAGGAGAGCGACACCGATTCGGTGTTCTCCACCACAGCCCGGGTGGCCACTCCCCCAGAGAAGTTCGCCCTGACCAGGACCCTCAGCTCCGAGACGAACACCTCGATAGCCAGCTCCAACACATCCACTTTGACCTCGGGATCCTCGGCAGGATCACAGGCCAGCTGCAGCTCTTTGGGCAGCACGCCAGCAGTGGACCTGACCCGACGGGTGCTGAAGAACCAGGTGGGCAGTGGCGGGGAGCCTGTGGTGCTTTCCAGCCGTAAGAGCATTCTCGCCTCGGCCAAGTGCCGCAGTGCCAAGAGCCGCGGCCAGGAGGAGGACAACGACAGCACCGACGGTGAGGCCTGCTCCTTGGCCAACCGCCGAATGAAGCCCATCTCCAGCTACAAGCTGCAGCAGCACCAGCAAATCCAGCTGGGCAAGCAGCAACTGGTGGTGGATAAGCTGATCAATGTGGCCGCCTATGTGGAGCTCACATCGGACACGGACGACAGCAGCCGGAGGTCAGACACGCCGGCCAAGATCAGTGCCATGTTCATCGACGAGGAGCGCAAGGCCAGCTTCAAGGGCGATCCCACCCAGCAGGCTAAGCTGAAGCCCGTGGAGCCCATCAAGCCCCTACTGCCCCTGCATGTTCCATCCCCGAAGCGGGAGCTGCCCAAGCAGCAGACCACCGCGGAGCTGCGGGAGAAGTTCGAGCGAAGTGCCGCCGCTTCCCAAACCCACTCGCCGGTGATCCACAAAATTGCCCCGAAGCCTCATCACGAGCGCTTCTCCTCCCTGGACTCCCTGGCCTCCAGCTCGTCCGGCGTCAGCTCCACTACCCAGAATGTTAGCACCACCCAGGAAACGGCCACGGAATTCGGCAGTTTCTCTTCACTTGGCAGCAACCAGAGTCTGATCACCGCCCAGGATGTCCAGCAGATCGTGGAAGAAGCCGATCCGCCACTGAAGACACCCGAGGCGTTCATCATTGTCCTGCAGAGGGATACTCCCGAGAGCAGCATCGGAATCACCCTGGCCGGAGGATCCGACTACGAGGCTAAGGAAATTACGGTTCGTATTTGTACTTGTTTTTAGAGAGTGTGTCCAATGCTAACTGGGTTTATTTATGGTCCTTCAGATCCACAAAATCCTGAGCAACACTCCGGCGGCCAAGGACGGACGCCTGAAGAAGGGAGACCGCATTCTGGCCGTTAACGGCATGAGCATGCGAGGATTGACGCATCGCGAGTCCATTAGTGTCCTTAAGGTAATGAAATATGATTACATCTATAAACATCTTATCTTAATATCATTTACCTTTTCCAGACCCCCCGTCCGGAGGTGGTGCTAGTGGTTACCCGTTCCGAGTCCCTGGTTGTAAAGTCCCTGACCAAGAAGCGTTCCTCTCTGGGATCGCTCAGTTCCCTTAACGAGAAGCCCACAGAATTGGACTACGAACGCAAACGAAACTACCACAAGGCCTCCAGATCCCTGGACCTGGATCTGGACATAGTCTCCAACGAAGCGGGCGAGTCCCCAGTGGCCACCACACCCAGCACAGGATCCGTAAGCCCACAGCAGCCAGCCAGCCTAAGGGATGAGGATACGGAGGCAACGATTGCAGGAATCCGGGCCAGGAGGCAGTTGTCCCGGGGAGATGCTGCCAAGCTGAGCACTAGCGAGTTGCTGGAGCGGGCGGCGGAGGCGAGGAATGCCATTGCCGCGGAAATACGGGCACAAGGTGAGCATAGAAGTTGTTCTCTTTAAGAAAATTTTAAACTTAAAACTTTAATTATAGCTGAAGATGCGGTGGCCAATGGAGGAGGTTCCCGGTGCGTGGAAATTGTCAAGGACAGCTGTGGCCTGGGCTTCTCCATTGAAGGCGGTTTCGACTCGCCACTGGGTAACCGTCCCCTTATTGTCAAAAAGGTGTTCATGGGTAAGAGTCATTTGTCATGCAGCTAGGAGCTTGATTAATTAACATTCGCAACTACCCGAACCAGGTGGTGCCGCTCAAAAGACCAACCAGGTGCGCAACGGTGACGAAATCTTGAGCATTAATGGTGCCTCCACCTCCCGAATGACCCGAGTGGATGCCTGGAACTACATGAAGCAACTGCCACTGGGCCCGGTCAAGATTTGTTTTGCTTAAAAGCTAAAGGACAATCGACGATGAAGACAAAGCCAACGAAGGGGAAGAATGCGCCACAATTTTTGTTAGAATTAAGCCAACTACTTGGTCTAGCCCCTAATCCGGTCCAAGGTCCAACCTTGGGGGTCTTGCCAATCCGATGGATCGAGAAGCGATTGCGAGCGATTGTTTTGCATTTAAACGAACCTTTAACTGTATGCCTAATTGATAGATATTTAATTTAAAGTGCAATTGTTTAAACTCTTACAACAACGTTTTGATGCCCATCATATACATACATACACTATAATTGATCGATGATTGTACATATAACTAATCGAGACTAATTTACGTATTTAAACTTTTACAAAAATTAAGGGCCGCCCTCGTGGCAGTGCTATTTCCTTATACACACAACTTATTAATCCACAAAATAATATGAAAAGTAAAAAAACACAATTATATTTTATGCCATAAATTATACGGGAACGTTATACATGTATATTATTTTAATTATTATATTATTTAATGAAAAACAAAAACAATGTTTACGTATACAAAAGTATTTGCTAAAAATAAATATATTTGAAAATAACCATGAATTCTTGGCTTACCTTCAAAGCTTTCCCTTGTCTTAATATCTACAAGAATCTATAAATATGCACCTCAGTAATGTTTATTCTTATGAGCTAGTTTTGGATTCATGCTCATGCATTTTTTAATATTTATGTTTGTAACAACTTAATTAGGTTTCCTAAAAATGATGCATAAATTCCATAAGAGTCTAGCCATCATCGGCAGTTTTGGATGGCTTGGGCATCAGCTTTGGCAGTTGCAGGGTCACTCCTAAGCGTTGCAAAGGATTCGATGGTGCCTGGGGGGGAGGCTGACGACGCAGACGGGTTGTTTCGTTGGCCTTCTCGCCCATCTCGGGACGAGGCTGACGACGAGGACAGGATTGGTGTTGAAGGATAGATATGTGAGGGTCTTCGCGACCGAATATTTCAGAAAGAACCTCGTATACCCGACGTTTAAAGTACAGCTTCTGGTAGAAGTCCATGACCTTCATTTCAGGAAGCAAGCCCTTAAGGAATACATCATCAAAGTCGATGTGAGGAGCTGGAGATGTCTTTGAATGAGATATAATATTATGCTTATATTATATTTCTTTCTTCTAATTACATACAACATTTCATATATGTATATTTCACTTACCATTTCATCTTCCTTAGACTCGCTTGACAAACGCAATCGCTTTTGGTCTCGTAGCCGAAACGAGTCCGTTTCGTCATCGGACTCCTCTTCGGACTCAGGATTCTCTTGGCTGTCCTGGCTCGGCGCATGCTCCGAATCCACACTACTTGGCGAAGTTTTTATATCGACGAGTGGATTGAAAGGATCTGGGGATTCGCAGTTGTGACCCGACTCCTCCTGTCTCCTGGCCTTTGAGCGACGACCTTTCACGGGAATGGGAACTCCTGGAGTGATGTGATTCTGCAGGAACAGCAGTTCGTTGTTCAAATAATATGTATTCTCCCCATGATGCAACTTTATGGAGCGGGCGTAGCTTGTGCGGATGTTGCGCCAGCGTTCCTTGCAGCTTTGGACTGAATAAAATATAAAATTTTAATAAATTTCAAAATAGTGAAAGCATTCAATGAAATAAACTCACTTGAACTTTGGGTTTTCTTCGATATATCCTTCCAGGCTTTGTTAACAGAGGATTGTCGCATATAGAATTCGTTTGAGCGATCATAGAGACACGGATGCTCGGCAACCAGTCGACAGATCTTAGCATTTATTGCGTAAGTACTCTGGACGGGAGCCATGGGACGGCGACGAGTGTTCATGGCGCCTATAAATTCAAAGACATTTGTCAAAATGAAATTTCTCTTGAAATACGCGTCGCCTGCGCGCGCAACAGCTGTTTAGCGGGCCTACGTATTGCTGCTTTTGCCTGCTGCAACAACAGCTAATATTGCAGGTACCTGAAGTGTTTCGCGTTTGCACTTACCTGGATTATATGGTCAATAGATACACCTAAATCGTGATACTGATTTAAGTTAAAGTCCACCGCTTTATAGTTGATTTAAGGTCCCAAGTTGCTGCGGTGCCACCTGATGTTGCTGTTGTTACTCTCGCTCTTTGGCACGACTCGTTCGTTCTCTGAGCAATATTGGTGTTGCAGCCAACAAGTGTTGCTGTTTCAAGTTACAACACTAGAATAAACGAGCTATAGATGTAATATTGGTTGTCGATTAACCAAAAGCCAGAGGTTGCTTGGTTTTTAAAGCTTTTGAGAATGAAGCAATTTTCAATCAAAACGTAAACATTGCCGGGTGGCAGGCTGATTGACCAAAACAAACTCAACCTTAAGCAAAGACCCAACACCCCTGTAGGGAATTCCAAGGGGGAAGGTTTTTTGTACAGCTTGAAACCCCTAAAGAGAGCGGATGTTGCGGTACGCCCCTGGCACCACAGAAAGGTTTTGACCGAAGATAATGCCGGTATTGCCAGATCCGGAATGTTTTGATCACTAAGGGAGCTGCCAACTCTTATTTATTTGAGGTGCAACAAATTAAAGATTTAATAAAAATTGCTTTAATATATTACAAATTTTAATTATTTTAACATTAATTTGATTGCGTGAAATATGAGTTTTCAATATACGATTTCTGAATAAAATAATACAACTTAGTACATACCTTCTATATACAAAAAGATAAATTCTCAGTGGTTATACAATAAAATACAATGAATACAAGACATTTTAATTAGGTCATATGAAATTATTTTTAAAAATTTAACGAAAATAATAAGCAGTTGTCAGCCCTCGTCGATTTTTTCCAACCCTAACTTGGCCTGCCAATTCGCATTGGAAGCGCGTTCTCTCGCTCTCTTCGCAGTCGCTCTGTATGTGTGCGAACATTCGTTTGGCGTATACGGAACACTGTTTGTCTGCGTTTCGTTTCTAGCTGACGCGCGTGTTGTTGTGCTGTGAGTTGTGTTTGCTGCACGAATCTCGTTCGTCGGTCTTTAAATTCGGGTCGAAAACTATCGAAAAGGAAGCGGGTGGCCATGAGCAAGAGCAATATGGAGATATTGTTGCTGCGGGCCGTGGCCAAGCAGCCACCGCTGTATGATCGCACATCTGACAATTACAGGAAGCGACTTCCCTGCGAGAATTCCTGGGACATCGTGGCCTCGGAAACAGGAGAGTCGGGTGAGTTGGGGGCTTGTTCATGTGGGTGCGAGCGAGACGATGTTGCACGGCTGCAAACAGTGTTGGATAGCGACTTAGTTTGCCGTGTTGCATAGGGACGTTAATCGGTCATCGCCAATCGATTGCATGTCAACAGGGTTGGCAGTCCCCATCATTTGGCTGTGTTTGCAAATGAGGCTAGTGTTCGCAGTCGCAAAAACACGGCATTTCATTTGAAAATAACGAATAAATATTATGACCTCACTTATTGAACTTGTGAATAAATAATTTTTTCCTTAAATGTTAACATTATTAACTTTGAAAAGAAAAAGATAAAAAAAGAAAAATGTAACAATTTCAAATAGAAATTTTATAATTAGAATTAATTTTATAATTGAAATTATTGGATTTCTTAAATATATAGTTTTGCATTTAGTTTTTATTCCTCTCAATAAAATTTTATAAAAGAAAAAATATTTTTCATTATTCCGCAATTATTACATGTTTACGATTTTTGTTTTTAAGATAAGTTTTTTTTCTATTAAAAATAAACTTATTTGTTATAAATAAACACATTTAAAAGTAACCTTTTTTCTGTTAAAAATAAACTTAAAACAAAAGGTAAATTTGTTCCAAAAAAATACGAAATTCGTTTATAATTTTTAATATATAACAAAATTTATGATAAATCCTTACCAATTAGTATTTGTAGCTTAGCTTTTCTTTAAATATTGTTTCCAAACTTTTTCTATATTTAGTCAAAATAAAAAAATTTTAACACTTATGAAAGCTCCTGTGTTAGATAAATTATCTTAAATAAATTAGGTTAAAATTCATTTTTTATCCTACATAAACATATAAAATAATCAAAAGACAGTTTGCTGCAATAATTTTTGCAAGTCTGTCGATCTCAGGTTACTCGAATTTGTTTGCCACAAATCAACTTTTATTATACAATTATTTTTATATTGATGCGTTATTTAAACGAAAAGATTAGGAACATTTTAGTACTTTGCAATACTCTACTCGTGAGCAACCCTGTGGCTTATCAACACCATTTATCGATTACACTTGGTAGGCAGCGGCTTCTATCGAATTTCGTAGAATCATTTTGTTAATGTCAAAGAAGGAATAATTTTGCAACGTTCAGAAGTGTCTTGCGAGTGTTACATTTAGTGGTTTTCCTTAAAGTTTTGGCCAGAAGCTGATCTGCAGCATAATTTATTGAATATTCTGGTAAGTTGTCTCAGTCACATGGTCATTTGTTGTAATTTCATTCGGAGCACGCAATATATGTACAATTTTATTAAAAACTTAAAATGTATACATATACATATGTAACTATGCCCTTTTCTTTGATATTGCATTATTTAAAACAAGTAAACTTTCAACGTACATATGTATAGGTTTATTTTTTTTATACAATTCCCGCGATACATTTTCCCGCGAAAATTGGCTTGAAAGTTTAGAGCGGCACAAATTTTTGTTGTGTAGAACTTTTAGCTTGCAAGCTAAAAATTTCGTGATTCTTCCTATAAATTGAACATTAGGACTCCTCAAATTAGGACGTTAGCTAAGAAACTAACTTTATTTTCTTTATTTTTATTGAAAAACACATACATACATATTTACATATATATGCATAATTGGCAAATGTGTGTGCGAGCGAGTTTCATGCAAAGTTGGAAGTCATCTTTAGATTCTAGAAATTACTTTTTGAAAGGTAGCAACATTTTCGACACAACTTCTAACCAGTTAGTGGAAATTTTCTTGGGTGTGATTTTTGTTTTTGCCAAAATGTGTTATCACTTTTTATTTTGACCTTTTCGAAAGCCCTTTGACATTTTTTGTAAATAAAACGGCACTGATTAGTGTAGATGACCTTAATTTTAGGCCGCGTTTTGCTCAACATAATTTTTAGTTTGTACCTTATGAATTTTTATTGTGGCAGTCAGGTGAATGGAAGCCGGCATTAAAATGATTAAAACAATAATTAATGTTTATTTTAATTACCGTATGGACAATTTTTAAAAACGACAACAAAACTTTTGTGATTTAAAATTTTCCTTTATTCAAGGTTAAATAATTTTCCTTATTAAATTAAACTTAAAAAATATACAATTTTTTTCTAACTCCAACTGGATTTAATTTTGTTGATACATTTGCATGTGTTTATAAATAATTTAATTTGGTGTAAAAAAAACATTGCATACTTTTGTCATTTTATAAAAATAAACATATTTGTTATATGAAAAAAATAATTAAATAAAACAAATTCATTAATATATAAACCCATTTTATCCTTAAATAAAATATATTTATAAAGTTTTTCTTTTTTAGATTAATGCTTAATAAACTAAGCGAATCGTTAGTTTTGAATTCAACTTAAAAAATGTTTAAAATAAAAAAACGAATAATATTTTTTATTGCGGCTTTATTTTATCAAAACTAAAAATGAATAATGTCACTTGAGAAGAATAGAAATATAACTAACCTTGCACTTAAAATCAAACAACCCTAAAGTTATGCAACACTTTCTGCAACTTTAATGCGGTCTTGATGGCTTTTGTAAACATTTGTTATTTGATTTACATTCCGTGGCTGGGAAACCTTACCTGGATCATGTTTTATGATAAGCCGACTAATGAGGCCGGGATTTGGTATACTTATACTTTTTCCAACCCAAGCTGGGGGTGGTTGCAACAACAGATGTTGCCCTACTTGTACCTGCACACCCGTCCCACTTTAGTACCTGCCTCATCTTCTGTTTTTATTTTAATTTTTTTGCAGTTAACAATTGCAAGAGGCAGTGGCGCCAGCTTCGGAACAGCTACACACGCTATGTCAACTTAAGTTCCCAACGGAAACGGAACGGACAGCGACGCCTATCATATCCTTTAGCGGAGGAACTGAAATTTCTGGACCCCCACCTGCATCTGGCCGACGACGGCAGCGATTTGGAAAGGGACAGCGAAAGCAGGGACACGTCCTTAGATCGAACGCATAGAGCCCATGTCATAACTGCCGACAAGGCACCTGAGGATATAAGGTCAAGGCAAGATCGCGAGAAGGTCGTCTCTCAAACGAAGAAAACCGCTGTGGAAAACCAGGACAAAGGGGCAGCTAAAGAAAATTCGCTTGAAAAGGTTTTGGAAAAACCCGATACAGTCACAACAACCGACAACTTTCTAACTTCAGACACCGAAGCTGAAGTGAATGTGGAGGAAAACTCTGAGGCAGAGTTGACTGGCTTCGGTTTTAATTCGGAAGCATCGTTCCAAGAACCGCAGACTGCAACCTCGGAGAAGCCATCAGAAGGCGATTCTGTCGAATCTCCCGCCAGTCAGTCCGAATTTTTTATAAAACAAAACAACGATCCACACTTACTCATCATAGGTAAGAAAAGGGCCAACATTGCGATGGACGATTCGCGGGATCCCCTCGACGGGAGTGATGATGACAGCCTCCCGTCCCCTAGTCGCCGAGCACGTCGTCCCATCCGAGCATCCATGAGCATAAAAGATATGCCCATCCGCAGGTCGGAAATGGGCCAGCGGCTTACTCGCTTACAGCGCCGCAAATCGCTTGGGGGCGTTTTGCAGAGGAATTCCCCATCTCCGGTCAAGTTGTCGCCGGTGCCTAGGACCTCTCTACCCAACAAGCAGGGCCCAGTTATGGTAAAGACGATCGCCAGCTCGCGGGACGACATATTCCCCCGACCTGCGCCCTTAGAAAATGTCCTACAGAAGAGGGGCGTGGGTAGACCAAAGAAGGTTATGCAACCGTTGACCCAAAGAATGAAGGATTTGATGGACCAGCATCAATCGCAGTCCCCGACATCATCGGCCCAGCCGTCTATATCAGTCCAACCGAAGTCGGCAATGGTTTCCAAAACCAATACCAGTGGGGGTACCATTACTCCAAGCTCTATGTCGATCAGCAGCACTACTAACCAGAAAACACCTGAGAACGTAACCATGGTGACTTTCAGCCCCATAACTACTACTATTAGCCCCCCTGTTAGTTCCCCTAACAGCCAGGCTTCCAATACCTCTGTTGGCACAGTTTTAACTCCAATGGTCGGGATTAATTCCACAGCAACACCCCTAGCGGTGCAACCCTACAAGACCTTGACGAAGCGGTGTGAACGTAGCTCTCAAACGGAAAGCCAGGAGCTCAACACTGACGAGAAATTCCTGGAGATGATCAAACCCCAAATGATGGAGATGAATCCTCGCCAGAAGATGATGTTCAAGAAGAAGGTGTTCCAATCGCTCATGGAGACCTTCGATGATGCCACTGACTTTCCAGAGGCCGGAGAGCTGCAGCATTTCAACATTAACACTCCGTCTGGCTTTGAGCACGTTTCGGATCCGGAGCTGCGACTGGTTAGGGAGTTGGTTAGCCTGGTGTGCGCGGCCAAGGTGACTTCTAGGCAGCCGTCACCTCGAGAGCCATCTCCAAGCGCATCCCCAGCCAGTGCCGGCGGAAAGACTGCACCATCAGAAGTGCCGCGCCAAACTCGGGTTATGCCCCGTCAAATGGTTCAGAGGCTTATTAAGCCGGGCTCGTCAGTAGAGGTGACGACCACTCCCATCATGACCGGACCGGGGCATGAAAAGAAGCTTTACCGCATCCTTCAGATGAATGGCAAGCCAAATGGTTATATAAGCGCTTCGTTGGACGAGTTACGCCCCAGGGAATCTTCCGAGAGTGGTACATCTGGAGCCATCAAGGTGGTGCATCCCACCGTCGTCAGTCCCCGGGCAACATCCGTTGTGGCGGCTGTAAGACCCCAAGGCTCTACGATGAACACCTTCTTCGGCCAGCCGCCCAGTGTGTCGGCCATTAAGGCTGCTCAGCCAGGAAAGGTTCGTATGTCTCGCCGCTACTCCGTTTGCGGCAATACTCCTCCGGTGCCACCTAGTGGCCAGATGCCCGCCAACGCGAGTTCTCTCAACTCCAACCTAAACCCCATGGAGGCTGCCATTCTGAAGCGTCGCCTCATAGCTCCCACCCAGGGAATGGTGCCGCCATCGCAGCGACCCCGCTACTCTGGACAACTGGGCTCACCCAATGGGAACAGTTTGCTGGTGCGGAAGCCACTTGGCGGAAGTGTATCCGGCATTAATAAGCAACTTTCGCCCATCAGCGGATCGTCGGCTCCGACAAAGACCCCACAGATCACCAATGTCCAGGGCAGCGCTTTCAACGACTTTGTGCAGCCGGCCAGCAAGGCTAGTACTGGATCATCCGTGCCTTCGAGTCCGGGCGTGGGAGACGTCAGCTCACCTAAAGCGGCCATGAAACGCAGCATGGTCGTGGCCAGCACCAAGAACACTGTGCAGACCGAGCAGCAGACCAGTTCGCGCCAGAGTCGCAGTGATTCGACAGAGACAGCGGCCACCATTGCTGCCGACGATTTCTCCCTGGGCAGCCTGAAGCGGGAGCCACTAGATCACTTGGACGATCAGGACATTCTGGGCATCTAAAGAGATGTCCACCTCAAATATATATATCCAACACGAATCTTAAAGATCTAAGAAAAAATTAAATATTGCATTACATTTATAATTCCCTTACGAGTTAAACTTTAAAATTAATATTCCAAAAAAAAAAAACATTGTTGAGGGCAGAATTCCTCATTTCATCTGGACACATTTGGGCAAACTTAATAATCACGATGAAAAGCTATTATTTTTTGACATAATATCTAAGAAATACCGAATTTTTCTTTAAAAAAATACCAACTTTTTCTATTATAACTTTCCTATTCATATTAGGAATTGTATCCTCATTTAACTTAATTATAAGCCACCAACTATAGAAAAGCTAATTCAAATAAATTTTTTTTTTGAAAATATTCCAATCTTATGTTTATTGTTTTATGGGCTACACTAAATTCAGAGACATAGTTTAATGCATATTTGAATAAAAAAATAAAGAGAACTATCTACATTTATTTGAAAGCAAAACTAGACAAAGGTGGTTTTCCAATTTGATTTGGAATCTAACTGAATGAAAAATCCTCTAACCGGCGAAAATCCTGTGATCCTCCGCATTAATGTTCCATCTATTGATGGTCCACCTTAAATTTTAAAAGTCTCCGTTAATGTAAATTTGCTGACAAGTTAGTTAGTTTGACAAGTCTTTAATTTTTCGAATTTTTTCTTAGGGGTACCCCCACAAAATTGTGGGTTTTCGTAATTTCCCCATTTTTGCTCCTTCCGATGGCCATAGCTCTGCCAATTTGAATCCGATCAGAAAACAAAGTACCATTCAGTAATCGGCGAACCCAGGAGCGACTTTCCTCATTCAAAGCATTTCCTAAATATTCGTTTGAAATTTTTCGAATTTTTTCCTAGGGGTACCCCTATAAAATTGTGGGTTTTCCTCATTTCCCCACTTTTGCTCCTTCCGATGGCTCTGCCAATTCGTATCCGATCAGGAAATAAAGTACCATTCAGTAATCAGCGAACCCAGGAGCGACTTTCCTCATTCAAAGCATTGTCTAAATATTCGTTTGAAATTTTTCGAATTTTTTCCTAGGGGTACCCCTATAAAATTGTGGGTTTTCCCGATTTTCCCACTTTTGCTCCTTCCGATGGCCATAGTTCTGCCAATTCGTATCCGATCAGAAAATAAAGTACCATTCAGTAATCAGCGAACCCAGGAGCGACTTTCCTCATTCAAAGCATTGTCTAAATATTCGTTTGAAATTTTTCGAATTTTTTCCTAGGGGTACCCCTATAAAATTGTGGGTTTTCCCGATTTTCCCACTTTTGCTCCTTCCGATGGCCATAGTTCTGCCAATTCGTATCCGATCAGAAAATAAAGTACCATTCAGTAATCAGCGAACCCAGGAGCGACTTTCCTCATTCAAAGCATTGTCTAAATATTCGTTTGAAATTTTTCGAATTTTTTCCTAGGGGTACCCCTATAAAATTGTGGGTTTTCCTCATTTCCCCACTTTTGCTCCTTCCGATGGCTATAGCTCTGCCAATTCGTATCCGATCAGGAAATAAAGTACCTTTCAGTAATCAGCGAACCCAAGAGCGACTTTCCTCATTCAAAGCATTGCCTAAATATTCTTTTAAAATTTTTCGAATTTTTTCCTAGGGGTACCCCTTTAAAATTGTGCGTTTTCCCGATTTCCCCACTTTTGCTCCTTCCGATGGCCATAGCTCTGCCAAATTGTATCCGACCAGGAAATAAAGTACCATTCAGTAATCAGCGAACCCAGGAGCGACTTTCCTCATTCAAAGCATTGCCTAAATATGCTTTTGAAATTTTTCGAATTTTTTCCTAGGGGTACCCCTATAAAATTGTGGGTTTTCCTCATTTCCCCACATTTGCTCCTTCCGATGGCTATAGTTCTGCCAATTCGTATCCGATCAGGAAATAAAGTACCATTCAGTAATCAGCGAACCCAGGAGCGACTTTCCTCATTCAAAGCATTGCCTAAATATTCGTTTGAAATTTTTCGAATTTTTTCCTAGGGGTACCCCTATAAAATTGTGGGTTTTCCCGATTTCCCCACTTTAGCTCCTTCCGATGGCCATAGTTCTGCCAATTCGTATCCGATCAGGAAATAAAGTACCATTCAGTAATCAGCGAACCCAGGAGCGACTTTCCTCATTCAAAGCATTGCCTAAATATGCTTTTGAAATTTTTGGATTTTTTTCTTAGGGGCACCCTTATGAAATTGTGGGTTTTCCCGATTTCCCCACTTTTGCTCCTTCCGATGGCCATAGCTCTGCCAATTCGTATCCGATCAGGAAATAACCATTAGTAATGGTAGTAATGGTAGTAAGTACCATTTAGTAATCAGCGAACCCAGGAGCGACTTTCCTCATTCAAAGCATTGCCTGAATATGCTTTTGAAATTTTTGTATTTTTTTCTTAGGGGTACCCCTATAAAATTGTGGGTTTTCCCTATTTCCCCACTTTTGCTCCTTCCGATGGCCATAGCTCTGCCAATTCCTATCCGATCAGGAAATAAAGTTCCATTCAGTAATCAGCGAACCCAGGAGCGCTTTCCTCTTTCAAAGCATTGCCTAAATATGCTTTTGAAATTTTTGGATTTTTTTTTAGGGGTACCCCTATAAAATTGTGGGTTTTCCCGATTTCCCCACTTTTGCTCCTTCCGATGGCCATAGCTCTGCCAATTCGTATCCGAGCAGGAAATAAAGTACCATTCAGTAATCAGCGAACCCAGGAGCGACTTTCCTCATTCAAAGCATTGTCTAAATATTCGTTTGAAATTTTTCGAATTTTTTTCTAGGGGTACCCCTATCAAATTGTGGGTTTTCCCGATTTTCCCACTTTTGCTTCTTACGATGGCCATAGCTCTGCCAATTCGTATCCGATCAGGAAATAAAGTACCATTCAGTAATCAGCGAACCCAGGAGCGACTTTCCTCATTCAAAGCATTGCCTAAATATTCTTTTAACATTTTTCGAATTTTTTCCTAGGGGTACCCCTTTAAAATTGTGGGTTTTCCCGATTTCCCCACTTTTGCTCCTTCCGATGGCCATAGCTCTGCCAAATTGTATCCGACCAGGAAATAAAGTACCATTCAGTAATCAGCGAACCCAGGAGCGACTTTCCTCATTCAAAGCATTGCCTAAATATGCTTTTGAAATTTTTCGAATTTTTTCCTAGGGGTACCCCTATAAAATTGTGGGTTTTCCTCATTTCCCCACTTTTGCTCCTTCCGATGGCCATAGCTCTGCCAATTCGTATCCGATCAGGAAATAAAGTACCATTTAGTAATCAGCGAACCCAGGAGCGACTTTCCTCATTCAAAGCATTGCCTGAATATGCTTTTGAAATTTTTGTATTTTTTTCTTAGGGGTACCCCTATAAAATTGTGGGTTTTCCCTATTTCCCCACTTTTGCTCCTTCCGATGGCCATAGCTCTGCCAATTCCTATCCGATCAGGAAATAAAGTTCCATTCAGTAATCAGCGAACCCAGGAGCGCTTTCCTCTTTCAAAGCATTGCCTAAATATGCTTTTGAAATTTTTGGATTTTTTTTTAGGGGTACCCCTATAAAATTGTGGGTTTTCCCGATTTCCCCACTTTTGCTCCTTCCGATGGCCATAGCTCTGCCAATTCGTATCCGAGCAGGAAATAAAGTACCATTCAGTAATCAGCGAACCCAGGAGCGACTTTCCTCATTCAAAGCATTGTCTAAATATTCGTTTGAAATTTTTCGAATTTTTTTCTAGGGGTACCCCTATCAAATTGTGGGTTTTCCCGATTTTCCCACTTTTGCTTCTTACGATGGCCATAGCTCTGCCAATTCGTATCCGATCAGGAAATAAAGTACCATTCAGTAATCAGCGAACCCAGGAGCGACTTTCCTCATTCAAAGCATTGCCTAAATATTCTTTTAACATTTTTCGAATTTTTTCCTAGGGGTACCCCTTTAAAATTGTGGGTTTTCCCGATTTCCCCACTTTTGCTCCTTCCGATGGCCATAGCTCTGCCAAATTGTATCCGACCAGGAAATAAAGTACCATTCAGTAATCAGCGAACCCAGGAGCGACTTTCCTCATTCAAAGCATTGCCTAAATATGCTTTTGAAATTTTTCGAATTTTTTCCTAGGGGTACCCCTATAAAATTGTGGGTTTTCCTCATTTCCCCACTTTTGCTCCTTCCGATGGCTATAGCTCTGCCAATTCGTATCCGATCAGGAAATAAAGTACCATTCAGTAATCAGCGAACCCAGGAGCGACTTTCCTTATTCAAAGCATTGCCTAAATATTCGTTTGAAATTTTTCGAATTTTTTCCTAGGGGTACCCCTATAAAATTGTGGGTTTTCCCGATTTTCCCACTTTTGCTCCTTCCGATGGCCATAGTTCTGCCAATTCGTATCCGATCAGAAAATAAAGTACCATTCAGTAATCAGCGAACCCAGGAGCGACTTTCCTCATTCAAAGCATTGCCTAAATATTCGTTTGAAATTTTTCGAATTTTTTCCTAGGGGTACCCCTATAAAATTGTGGGTTTTCCCGATTTTCCCACTTTTGCTCCTTCCGATGGCCATAGTTCTGCCAATTCGTATCCGATCAGAAAATAAAGTACCATTCAGTAATCAGCGAACCCAGGAGCGACTTTCCTCATTCAAAGCATTGCCTAAATATTCGTTTGAAATTTTTCGAATTTTTTCCTAGGGGTACCCCTATAAAATTGTGGGTTTTCCCGATTTTCCCACTTTTGCTCCTTCCGATGGCCATAGCTCTGCCAATTCGTATCCGATCAGGAAATAAAGTACCATTCAGTAATCAGCGAACCCAGGAGCGACTTTCCCCATTCAAAGCATTGCCTAAATATTCGTTTGAAATTTTTCGAATTTTTTCCTAGGGGTACCCCTATAAAATTGTGGGTTTTCCCGATTTTCCCACTTTTGCTCCTTCCGATGGCCATAGCTCTGCCAATTCGTATCCGATCAGGAAATAAAGTACCATTCAGTAATCAGCGAAC